GTACCGTCCTCGTTGAGCATTATTCGGCAGTGGTGTCTTCTACATGTCAACAGTGAAACTCCTGCAACCACGTATCTCGTTTGTGGTGTTCAAAAGCCTCCGCTGCTCCTTTATTTTTTATCTTGCTAAAGGACGGCAAATCAAAATAAGAATCAATCAGTTTTAGACTCCAGCGGGGCGATTATTGAAATGACATCGACTCTATGTCGCCGCTTACGACAAGACATAGCCCTATCTCAACCGTGCAATATATCGCAATTCGATGTCTTATCGGACTGGTTTAAATTTCAATAATCGGCCCGCTGGAGATATAGATCCTATACGTATAACGGTATTTTGGTAGGGCCTCAGAAACTCCGAGGACCAGGAAAAATACTGCAGAGAATTTTTCCAATTTAATTTGATTATCATCTTTGACGATGATGGTTTGTCTTGGGCAAAATTTTACCCAAAATTTCAAAATTTCTTCATCGAATCGATTCAGGCACCAGCAAAAGTGGATGTATTTAACCCAAATTCAACAAAAATGTTCTTTTACCAAGTGGCACCGATATCCACCTGGAGAGAGTAAGACATCAACATAGGCGGATCCAGACATTCCGAACGCGGGTGGGGAGGAGGGCTGTCGGAGGGAGGGTCCAGGGGTTTTTCGTAGAACATATTTGAAATTTAAACGCATCTAAAATACCCTTTGAGTCAATTTTGTCATGAATAGTTATAAAATTTAAGAGTACCTCCTTTCTCTTTCCATCCGTCCCCTCTTTCTTTCTCTTTTCTTCATCCTTTTTTCAGGCCAATGGAGAGGGCGCAGGCCCCTACACCCCCCCTCCTTTTGGAACAACCTATGTATTTCAACCTTTTTTTGTTTTTGATTTGTTTGACGCACCCTAAAGTAAACTCCCATCACAGACGGAACGTTCCGAAGAAAATGATCTGCAGGCATGATCATTGAAATTGGTGGACGAAACGATGGACAAAAAAGACTTAGGGAGTACGGAGCGATCCTATTAGTGACTAAGGGAGAAAATGATCCATCGCCAAATTTGAGGATCACACGTCTTCATTTTCGACGGTAAAATCTTCCTGCGGGCTGATTGTTGAAAGTTATAGACAAAGCTATAGACAAAAAAGACAAATATAATAGTTCTATCCGTAGCACTTAATAATTGCTCAGGAGAAAAACAATTTCTTTCCCAAGCAGTAACTTATTGTTTCAGAGAGAAATTAGATATTCACCCCGTCTTTAAGGGTCGATATCTCGCGAACGGGGCTTCAGATGGGCAAACCCTTCAAATAAGTCTCTTAGAACGAAGTAAAGATTCCGTACACCTATCAATTTTCAGCCAAATCGAAGGGAGTCGGGTACCGGGCCTGGTTGAGTTGACTTAGAATGCCCCTCTATACTCCTCATGTTTTCTTTATCTGTCGTTTTTTCTATCGATTTCAAAAATCGGCTCCCTGATTAAGAAATACTAAATATACGACCTAAACGAAACCTTAGGTTCAAATCATGAAATCAAATCACCAAAAATTTCTCGAGCTTCCCCGTATTGTTCAAGGCAATTCCACGTTGCCACGGGAAGAGCCTCGGTCAACTGGTGGAGGAATTTGAGGACATCGAGGATGAGCGGAGGGACTTGCTCAAGGATTCCCTGAAAACTATCGAAGTCACCGAGAACCAGAATGCAGTGAGGTACCTGGTTCGTCTAGCAGAGGCACACGTGACATTGGTCAGGCTCCGGAGATACTTGCAGGCTGCAGAAAAGGTCCTCCACGCTGCCCACTCGCTCAGATCGGAGCATGGACTCCCAGATGTTAGAGTAACGGTGAGTACAACCAAAATTCACCCATGACAAGCTGAATCAAGGGAATATATGGATCGCATTCAGCAAATAAGAACCAGCGCGATTGCAGTGTTTTCAAAATCGTGCAACTTCCTCTTTCATTTTAAAAATACTTACTAGCAGTACTGTATTCAAATTTATACAATTATTTTCCAGTAAAATTAACAATTTTTTTGGTTGGAAGCAAAACATCTTTGCTACACTGAGAGATTTTTGTATAATTGTGGAAAATCAACATTTTTACAACACTGTAATCGCGCTGGTTCCTTTTTGCTAAACGGGATCCATATGGACCGCGTTGAGCAGAATCAAGCCACATCAGCTATTGTTAAATTCAATTGGGCAATTTGATTTTTCACGAGAGAACGTTTGAGTGGATTCCATCGAAAATTGTGGATTCCGTTGAAAATTTTAGGGCATTTGCTTCGTTTTACTGCAGAAAAATCACTGAAATTTGCACCAAAAGTGGTTCACCGAAGTAGCATTTTGTCGAATACTTGCATTAGCGCTCCATTCAAACTGTTGCGCGTCAAAAGTTGCGATGCGATGCTGCTAAACTTTTGCAATTTTTCATAGAATTTGCAGCAATTGGAATCCACTCACAGAGACAATGGTGATGAAAAATTCTGAGCTGATCTTGAGAAAAATTCACGCCAGAGCTTTTGGAAACTTCAGGTACCTGTAATTACAGAACTACGTCTCACAATCTTAGAGGCATTGGAAACCTCATATCGACGGTAAAAGTCGGCAATCACATAACTCGGTTTGCGACGTCGCAGACTTCCTGTCATACTTTATTTTTTAAATTGAAAACTACTCAACGACAATTCTTTAAAACTGTCATGATTTTTCTTCTCTGTGCGAAGAAAATTCTGCAAAAACTTCAAGAAATAATATCAATTTGTTCTCCTTTAAAAAAATGACGTAGAGGCGGAGATTTTCAGACACCGCAAACGAGTTATGTGATTGCCGACTTTCACCGTCGATATGTTTTTAACCGAGGAAGTCCTCAATTTCTCTTTTGAAGTTGGGATCCGAACCAGATTTTGCGACCTAACCGGTATCGCATCATGTATTCTTTCAGGCATTGAAGCCAACTGTAATATTGATGACCATAGCACCATAGTATCTTCACTTTGGACGTTGCAGACTCCCTGTCACACTTTATTTTAACGTCGGAAAACTAGTCAACGTAATTTCTTGACTGCTTCCTTGATTTTTCCTCTCTCTTACATTTAGTAGAATATTCTGTATTCGTTTCAAAGTACACAGTTTGCTGATTTCTCTTCGAAAAAATAAATCTCTTCGTTAAAATACCGGAATGGAGATACTTGGTTTTACAGTTTGGCCATCGATATGTGTTTATTTCGTAGGTCGCCAAGAGTAGAATCGAGAATGATGCCCTGAGAAACCTTTTGTCGAAGCTGTCGAAAATCTATTCCGAAACGAGTGACATTCAAGTTTGGAGCATGCCGTACATCGTGCGAGGTCTAGTACTGCCAGTTGCTCGCGCTTTCATTCACAGTGAAGAAAAACTCCTGGAAGTAATCGTGAAATTCCAGTCCGAGCTAAGTCGTGCCACCGAAAAGAAAAGCATCCTCCTGGTCAATTGACCGATCCCAGACGACCACGACTCCATTGATTTTTCCTCCATATTAAAACATGTTCTGGAAATCTTTGAAATACATATACCCCGCTGAAAATTATGTTTTTTTTCCCTTTTACCTATTCATTGAAATCGAGTCAACTTCAACTCTACTTTCGAGTCAAATTTGACTAAATTACTGTAACCTTGAGAGGTGTACTTACAAGGGTTTGTTCGGCGTAGCATTACATAGACAGTGGCGATTCTTAAAGTTGGCAACACTATTTTCCTTTCATTTAAATGTATTTAAAACAATCGATTCTTAGTGAGAGAGCTTACCTCACCTAAAATCAATATTTCTAATGGATTTAGATTGAGGTAAAATAGTGTTGACAACTTGCAAAATCGCCTCCTATAGAGGGTGGATGTGTATTGTGGATACTGTCGTGCTGAAGGAGAACGCCGTTATATCCTTCAGTATAGTTGCTATGTTTCCTTCAATAAAAATCAAATTTACTGGGAAAATTATGAATATTTTTCTTCATATTTCTCAGAGTTAGTTCAATAAGTTTAAGGAAAAACATGCATAACTTTCCTCAAAAATACATGTTTTAGCCGGAGAAATTTGGCAATTCTTAACTGTTCATACGGCGTTCTTCCATAGCACGGCAGGATAGGTGTCAAAACCCCTACAATTTTTTTTACAATTACAACAAAATTTTTAAATAATATTGTATTCTTTGTAATCAACTATACTGTTTAATTCTAACAAGATAAGAGTGAAACTATCAAACGAATCACGTTCCAGTCTGTGACATTGCAGATTTCCTGCCATAATTCATTTTCCTTAAGATTATTGAAATGTGTCACCATAATCATAGAAAATTTCATCCAAAAATGTCCAGAAACATGTATATATTTAAAAAAAATAAAAAAAATAAAAAAAAAAAAAAATGAAGAAAAATTGAAAATTTTGAAACATCCCTACTCAGATCCGTGTCTTCATAGACTCACCACCATACATCATACTCTGACGAAAACTTTATACTTACCGAGAAAATTATTAAACCTGTAGGTTGCGACGAAAAAATGGTAATAAGAAATTGAGTTTAATGATAATTTGGAAATTCGAAAATATTTCGAGCAAAATAAACTAGAATTTCCCTACTGTGGAAAGTTCCCTCCACAATACTGAATCCCTCGACCCCAATCTTATGGAAAACCGCAGAAAGTTAATTCGTCGCAACTTGTGAAACATCCCCGCAAATTCGCAAAAATATATTAGATTTTCAATCGGTCAAAATCGGTGATAAGGAAATTCAGACAAATC